GTAGTACGAGAAAGTGCGTCTTGTTGCTACCACGTTTTCTCTCTCTCTCTCTCTCTCACAATCTGAAGACAATACAACAAAAAAGTTTAAAAACCAAATATATAAATTATTGTATCTACAAGTTCTCGCGGCTTATATATAAAGTCTAATTCGCATTTCGGATAGTAGTCTCGATTTCACGGAGTCGCAATTTCTCATAAAAATGTGCGCGAGATACTTGGTTACGTGTAATTTATCGTTTTCTTTCTTCTACCATTTATGGGATGTACTTGGAGGTTCTTTTACTGCTCGTGTTCCAGATCGGCGCGCACCGACAGATACAAATGGTGGTAGAAGAGAGAGAGAAGAAAAGTCAGACAGAAAGAGACAGCGAGAAATAAGTAAGAAAGGATCCGAAAGATAGAGAGAGAGCTTTTTCGGCGATGTTATAACTTGCTTCTTCTTGAAGCGAGTGATCTGCTTTAGAGAGAGATTTACTTATCGCGCTGCTACATGAGGAATAGGAAATTGATATTTTTAGGTAAGATTGTATTTTCGTTAACTATCAGATATTGCATTGCTCTGTACATACAAACACGAGAAAACTGATCTTTTTCGCGCGATATATATTCATTCAGAACGTATGCATGAACGTATATTCCGTGCGCGCGCGGAGCGGAATCAGCGTAAAGCTGATTGGGTAAATACAGTTTAGATCGAGCTCGGAATGGTGAACACAACACATTAATGCTTAATACGCGGAATTTCCTTTAATTCGCGCTGTTCGAGCAACTATATATATATACGCGATATCGCATTTCAATTAAGTTAACTTACACCGACACTCGTTGTAAATACGCGGGAGAGAGTTTTCGCGCAGCCTTTCCAAAGCCGAATGACCATGAATTTGTACGTTCGCAAATGCAAGATCAACAAAGCAGATAAGCTTTAATTCGACCGACGGGTATGCGCGGAACACTAACGTAAAACAACATTCGTTCGTTTGGAAAAAGCCATACAACAGTTCGCCAACGCAGCATCTAAAAAAATTCACCGATCTGACTTTCTTCCTTCCAGTCAGAAACGAAATATTTTGCGATCCGCGTATCTCGCGCGATTCATGAACACCAGAGAGAAGTATCTCACTTTTTTCTCTCTTTCTCTCTTTTGTTAATTTTTAACTTCATATGTTTCAATAAAGACAAATGAATAGATTGTTTATTTGATTTTTGTTTCGTTAATCGTTTGTTTAAAGGTGAAAAATTGCGTTTCAGTTATTTTGTTATTTGTCACGTTTCAAATACGCTTTTTATTTTGGTTATCAATTATTTTGTTTGTAAAATCATTTAACGTTTGAAATGTGAAAGCAATTCTGCTTTATTGTGCAAACAAATTGTGTTCAACTTTTGTACTCTCGCGTGATGGTGCGAGATATATGTATATATCGAAGAGCGGATATGAATACATCAAAGTTGCGGATTTGAATACATCAAAGTTTTTTTCTTTTTGTTGTGTTTTTTTTTATGCTCACTAAGCGGCCAATTTCTCTCCCTTGCCGTGCATGCAGAGAACGTAATAAATTTCAACGCAACGTGGTTACAATGTGGTTACGTAATCTCCATGTTCGTGTTCCTCAAAGGAATTCCTCCCAAATTCTAATAAAACAGCATTTGTACTATGCGTTTAATCCTTTCGTATTCTCAACTTCACTTTCAAACAGGCTCGGGAAGAAAAACATTTTTGTTGTGTTACTTTCGTGTCTGTCTTTTAATTCTTCGTTGTTTTTGCGGCAAAGAACATCAGAGAGAAAGAGAAAGAAAATGAGAAGTTCGTATCAAGTTAAAATTATAAAGAGCTTTCATATACGTGTATAATATGTGTGTAACGCAGTGTCTATAATAACACGAAGTTCGCTCATACATGAGAATGTTGAGAACTATCTACGAGCTTTTGTTAAAGTTTGACGGATGTGGAATCTTTGTACTATCAAAATTAGTTTAATAAAGTCGACCGTGTAACAGAGTGTAATACGTCTCGAGAATCTAGTTACGTTTATTCTGTTAATTTTTTCTGGTTGAATTAACATCAACTTTAGCGGCTTTAACGAAGAGAAATAAATAATCGAAACGTCCCAACATTCCTAAAATTGCTGTTTGTTAAATATTTATTTTAATTTTTATACTCGCTACTGCCGGTGTAGCTCATAAAATCCACTTTAATTTAGACGAAATGTTAAGTACAACAAAAGCAATGATCATTACTTGTGCTTCGCGTTTTGAAATTTCTATTTTAAACAAGGTTTCAAAGGTTTAAGTCAGTTTAAAGCTTTAACTTAGAAGTGTCGATTTTTAAATCCTTTGAATATTTTTGCATTTAATAATTCGCGTACGTTTTTACAATCTGTTTTTGTTGTATATCAGAAATCACTTGGTGAATTTTATACTTTTTGTTTTATTTATCTTCTTTTACTTCTTCGTGATCACAGTAGAGGCAGCACATGAAAGAGGAAAATGTTCCGTGCGTCTAGAGCGGTTCTCGGTCGAGACCGTAGCACGGCGCGTTCATCTTGAAGGTTTCTTGTACAGATGGAAGCACCTATTCCGAGAAAAATGCTCATCAATTCCTTGTTATGCGTAATATTTGTGATAAAATTCAATATTTTTGTAATTCAAATGTTATTCTAGGCATTGATAATAAAATTCAATGCGTCATATGCCGGGAATAAAATCTGTGACACATTTATGATTGCTGAAGACAACAAAGAAGTACGTAAGTACAAATATTCTTCTTTTTTGCATAACGTCAGTGTAATTATAGTTGCGATTTCTCACTTCAAAACGTTTACAAAGCTGATTTTTTGCAGACCTGAAAGAGGGATTTCAGTTCAAGAAATAGAAGAATCTGCTTTAAAGTCAGACAAATAAATCAAAAAAAAGATCGAAAGATACGAGAGTGGTCGAGAGTAACTTATAAACGAGACTCACGTCGTCGCCGGTACCCCATAATTACTGGCGCCGATGAACAAAAAAGTGGACTGACCGTGCAGCCATCTTTTAAAAAGGTGTTAAAGTGTGCTTTGTGCTCGTGCATTCGTGCGCGCGCGCGGGGTAGGTGTTAATTTAAAACAAACCTAGGGATAGCGCTGATTTGAAATCCGGAGCCGTCCGTGTACTTTTATTCGCCCTGAAATTCGAACGTTGGTTCTTCGTCTCAGTGGCGTATCGAAAAAATTTTCGATCTTTTATCTCGATTGTGGCGTTTCCGTTCGATCTCACGCGATTACAAATGAACTCTCCGAGTTGTCTGATGCAAAGTATTTCTATTAAAATTTATATCTTTATTTTTGTTCAAGTTTCTGCATCAGATGTTACACAACAGAATTTTCCACGTGTGTTCAAAAAACCATATTTGAAAATATTTGCAAACTACGTAAATACGAATTAATTTTTTATAAGACACAAAACAACTGATTACACACGATTCACAGATGCTATCCATAGAAAAAAAAAATCATCTTTTGCAAAAGATTTGGAACATTCTAGGTTCGGCGCACTCGGGACACGCCACTGCGACGGCAGATTTTCGCACATAACGTGTAATCAGCACAGCAGTTTCGAACCAATTTTTTTTTTTTATGTTTACCTTCGGGCAGCGGCCACCTTTCTTTCGCACCTTCCCATTTTTTTCTCATCACTCAAAGGTGATTTTACGACTCGCGTCCACGAAGCGATGAGCAACGCCCTTCGAGAATCCGAGGCGAGTTGACCTGCTGTATATACGCATTTTAGATCACACAGTACAGTAGTAAATCATTGTTTTTATTGTATGAAATTGCACTTCTTCACGTGCCCATTCTACAAGAGTTATTTTGTCGCCAGAGTCATTAATATCGCGAACGCGATAAAAAACCTCTTATCGTCAGAGATTTTCGCGAGAGAGAAACTTAACGACACCGCGCGCGCGCACACAATTTTTCATGTAACATACTCGCCGATAATGAAAAGGATAAAAAGCAAACCCGGAGGGGAACTTTTCAAGCGGGAGAGTCTCGAACGCATATCTAATTCATTAAAGATCCGATCGATCTTGACTTTCGATCCATAATGCACGCTCTCGGCTCAGGCGCTAACGAGACAGCTCCGGGAGCCATTAAGATTCCACCTTATCACGATCGGGAGACGTTGCACCACGCGAAAAGACTCGTTTTCCAAATTGAAAACGCGCCCGATATCGCGACGTACAATCGGCGAGGCGTACGTATCTGCGCTCGCCCTCTAATCGCCAGTTAGTCGGGCCCGAGCGCTGCGATCTATCGATTTATCGATCCTCCGGAATTAGCATTCGAGGCGTGCGGATCTACCGAGCCGCAGCTACGTAAATTTAAGGGCTACGCTCGAGAAGAACTCGAGGAATTTTGATTTATCCACAAATCTCTCTCGTCTGTGATCTATGCGTGAATCATATCGATCCGAAAGAAAAAGATCGCGCGCGATGCATTTGCGCGATATTATTAGCAAACGACGAGAAATCAAAACAGAGATCAATATTACGCCTGTAATAAAGATCTTTGACAATCGACTTCGATTACTTTGTACGTTACTTTGTGCCGAAATATGACAGATTTACGCGTTACGTGTGCCCAATAAGGAAGTGTTCTTAATCCCCGCTCCCTCCACAAAAAACGGACGAAGCGCGTGGCCATATTTTACGGGCGGAGGCGTGAAACGGATAATTTTCGTAGGAAGCAATATCGGATCGTATATCAGGCCGCAGAAACGGTCGGTCGCCTTCAAATTATCGGAAACGAGGGCCACAACTAATGGGGCACGTTGAACCATTTGACTCCTGCGGGGTTGGGCCCGATGCTGATTCACGGCAATCCATTCGCCATTTTCGTGCCGCACGAGCCGCTTTACGTGTCCAGGCGCGTCTAATATCCAAGAAAGTCTGTGCCCTCAAGGAAGTGTAAAAATAGAAAGAGGAAAAGAGAGGGAGAAAAAAAAATATATTCCCAAACGCGGTTTCGTTCTTTTTCAGTTTATTGATAAACACGATCTCGAGTACAAAAGATTGCGTGCGTATTTGAGCGTATTGCCGCAAATCGAACGCGGAGAACAGCATGCAGCGCGGTGTCAGTCCCACCAGATTCGATTAGTGTTAAACAGTTTCCACGGCATGGTGTCGCAAACCGTGCCGGCGATCGCCGCCTGAACCGACATAGTGAGAATTCTGAAGTTCACATCTGTGTAATTCAGAGTGGACATCAAGAAAATCGGCATCCGGTCCGATATGATCCAGAGCAAGCCGTGTTTTATCTGTAGCGATGGAAGTAGAGCAACAAAGAGCGTGAGAAATTGAAGACAACGAGTGTTTTTGATGCAAACAGATGATAAATGTCACGCCGTAATACCTTGACATCAGCTGGAAATATCATAGCCTCGTCGTGTTTGGCGACAACCGCCTGATTAATCGGCGCGTAAGGTAACATAGAGTTCCAGCAACCGACCGCATTCTGATCGATCAAGTTGAAGAACTGAAGCCCGTTCTCGTCCATCACCGACGCCGTGCAATGAGAAAGCGGTCCCCTCGATGGCAACACCTACGGTAATGTAAAAAAAAAAAAAAATATGCTCACAAGACGTTATCGCATTTTAAGAGAACGTCTTATGTTTGATTTCAAAAATTAATAATATTTGTACAAATTAGTTGAAACGTTCAAACAGTATACTTAACAACTTAATAATAAATAGCTCGTTACTCAAATCCACAAACGAGACAGTGGCTCGTATAGGTCAAAAAAGCACGTAAAAAAATTACTTGAAATTCATGATAACTGTTCTGCGACAACTGCTGGTCTCTTAAGATCCTCGTGGAGACCGCAAATTCCCGGTTACTGCTGAGAGGATGAAAGAAGAGCGTTCGATAGCCATCTTCCGCGAGCGGTGACAGACTCATTCCAAAAATGCCCTCCTCTCCCCACTGGAAATTCAAGCCCCCGATATTGTAATCGCCCGCCAGAGGATCCGGCATGAAGTAGCTGTGCGTTATTCGCCAAGACGTGTTCTGTTGCCAGGAATACACGATCAGACCGTAGCCCAATTCGTCAGACATGTAAGCGAAGGCGTCGTCACAACCACCTTTTCCCAGATCGACCGCGATGTTGGCGATGAAGGTGTTCTGCGTGAATAAAAATAAGAACAATTAAAATACACGGTGTTGAAAAGTGTTTTTTCTTTAGAGAGAAGAATGTTGCAAGACACGCGAGATAGAAACGCAAAAGCAGCCCTTCTACCTGATTGATGTCCTCTGGTCTCAGCCTGTACTGCCTCAGCAATTTGTCTGTATTTAAGTCGAACACATTCAAGGTGTAAGGACAGGCTTGTATGGTTGTGTCTTCGATTCCTATTGTCCCGGTGTCCAGTACCCACAGCCTGTCGCACGTGTCCGCGTGAATTCTACAAAGAAACATCGCGTTCTTCGTAGATCGAACTGTCTTTCAATCAACTCATTCGCGCAATTGATAAAAATCCACCTGTAAACGGTAGTCAATCCACTGCCACAAGCACCAGCCTGGTTTTGGGCCCAACTTGGATAGGGTATCAGCTTCGGCGATTCACCTTGATTAACGTCCAACGATACGTAATTCAACGTGGACGGTATTCCTGCGACACGAAACGTCAATCTCTCTTAAAGTGTTTTTTTTTTTATTTCCGTCGCGTTACTCGTGTCTCTATTGCGCAATTATTACTTTCGAACAAGGTAATAAACGTCAAAGAGAAACGCACAGGCAAACCTTGGCGATAAAAAATGTAATCACGTTATAACACATAGAAAATAATAAAACAAAGAAAGGAATGCAAGAGAAACGTGAAAAACAAAAATGCGCAAAAGAAATTGCGAAGAGTTTGCGAAGGAAGTAAAAGAGGGAGGAAAAGAGTAGAAAGAGAATATTAAAGATCTTACAGCATGCCGCCGTCATTGTCCGGTCTTTGTGCGACAGAAAAAACGGTGGCGCGCGCCAACATATAATAAACATAGACCGTGCAAAAAGATCGAGTGAATAAAGGGCAGCGAGGGCTTGAATAAACTCGTTCCCTCCATCAGGAGGGCAGAGGGACGAGAGGGAGTGGTGGAACCTCGAGGGAGGGTTCGCGGAGGTGGAGGTCGACAAAGGCAGAAACGCTCCTATTGAGAGCGCACTCGCGGTTTTCGGCGCTTTTTGTCGCGGGCCGGAAGTCGCTCAGACGGGAATCGAGGCGTGTACCTCCTATGGCGATCTTCCGTGTATTATGTCGGCGTCTGTTTCCGGTTCCTGACTTTGAAGCGTCGCTGCAGTTTTTTTTTTTTTTTTTAGCAACGAAGGTTCATTTGTCTGTCGCGTCGCAAGATGTTAAATCGAAAACAATAGCGAAGTCGCGTAATTAATGACTAATAATTCGGGACAATCACCGTCGCGCCATCGCGGTATCGTGACGAACAGTTTGTTCCTCCAGATCTCGATGCCAACCGGCAGAGCATTCTCCGGCACAAATTCGCCCCTTGTCATTGCCAGCTGTCTGCTGCGTTCGTCCGGATAAGCAAAGTCCATCGTTTTCCACGTAAACTTTTCCAAAAGCGGAGCGCGACCGTACTGCATGCCCCATAATTGAATCCCGTCGATGTTCTCGATCCGGAACACCAGGAAGATGAGAACAAGAACACAATTCCAAACGAAGTAGTATTGCATTGTTGTTATTATTGTTGAATGTCTGCGTGCACAAAAATAATTTCATTGTTTAGAAACTTTTGATTAAAAATAATTAAGATATTTAATTAAAGATGTGTATCGTGTAATTAATTATGTAAATATGTGTGCAAGCGCGCTATTACACATCTTGATTTCTCTAGTAACTTATTTTTTCAAGAAAATATACCCTCCCTTCTATAATAGACACTACTTTACATACATTTATATAATGACAACAATATAACATTCTTTCTCTTAATATTTGTGCGTGAACACGTTCTTGAAATTAATTACAGCAGTTAAAAAAACTTGAAGCATATCACAACTATGTCGCAACAATGTATTTTTTATGCACAAAAATATAAGATATAGATAAAATTGCATTTCACACATATATATGTATATATTACATAATATGTAAATTTAGTTTTTTTCTTATTAAACCGGTTAGTCTATTAGACCGGTTAGTCTATTAGATCGGTTCAGTTTAGTTCAATAAATCACTACAAAAAATATTTATCTGTTTTGGCGTTTATGAAGCACGTCTCAACGTAATATGTAAGTAACTTTCTACTGTAATACTTTCCAATCACATACCAATCACGCTAATATCTACAAACATTTAAATTTACAAAGTATAAGTCCAATATATAAATTTACATTTACACACATATGTTTAATTATATATATGTGTTGAATAAATATATTAAATTTATAATTGTTAATGTAAATTTTTTTATGTGATGTGAAGCAAGTCTCAGTCGCACTTTGGTACTGCAAGAATTGTTTAAGTAAAATCTTTTTCTCTCTTTATATATAATGAAACTAATATTAAAACTCAAACAAGCATAATATTTAAATCACTCAATTATCATGGAATATCAGTAGTGTAGTTGCAACAAATATATAATCTTGTTAAACTTTATTTTCTATCTCCCGATATTTGACTTATTTGATAAAATCGAGATTAGAGTCCGGATCTTTTTAAATCAACCACTCGATCTGTCACACTTTGTTCACAGCAATTATTAATATCAATCAACGAATTGTTGATGAAAAACACGACACAATACCGATCTTTGCACTTCAGGCTTTTGGAAAGTCAGCTGACGCTCCCTCGCTCCTAAACTGCGTGGTCCCGTAAAACGCTCGCTGTATATATGCACTCAGTCCTAGGCGAAACCTAATCTCATTTCGCGTGGAACTCGTGCCCCCGTGAAGGTAAATGCATCATGGCATTATGTTGCATGTACTTGCACGTTCGCGCTTACTCAAACCATCAACCAGCACGGACATTCATAAACACCTGCACTTATGCGTTACGACGCATCGATTTAATTGAATGATAGAAGGGATTTTACACATGCCTTAACAAGACTTGAGTAAAAGTGTACAGTAAATAAAATAAGTACAAGAATTAAAAACCCGCTAACGAGCTCCACCTTCTATAATTTCTCCTTATTTCAGCTAACTAACGTTTCTTGCGTGATTTAGTTGTGCAACAATCATCGCAGCAATATGCAATCCGAACGCCTTGAGGTACCAGTTAGTTTTTTTGTTACAATTGTGTAAATACGCACACATTGTTCTTGCGATTCAACCAAGATTTCTATAAATCTTCTAATAATGACTACCGCGTGCGCGTGCGCGCGAGATCGTTATTTGACCATTAGTCGCGAACAGTACGGGATTAAATTGAATCTGATAGCGATTTAATTAAATTCATAAATCTCGGATGAGCTCATCTCTCTCGGAGAGGAACTCTGCGAACGCGCGACGAACGTGAAAACGCAGGCGGGCAGAAAAGTCATTCGTTAGCCGTAACGAGGTGACGACAAAAAGCCGCCGTCTGTCTCACGGATGATCGGCTCCCGAGAATAAATTCCCGAGAGCACTCCGTTATCTTCCCGCGAGAACTGACGGCTGAAATTGCGTTCAGCCCTTTGGACCTCTTCTCCCCCTTTCTCTCTCTCTCTCTCTCTTTCTCTATCTCTTTCTTTCTCTTTCTTCATTCTTCGCACCCACTTTGAGCCGCGTTTCATTAATCAGCGTTGCCCTTCCGGAAGAGTGCAATCAGAATTTGCGAAAATGAGTAATTGCCGACGGGTGAAAAATATTGTTTCGGTTTAATTATCGATGCGCGACATTAGCGGTAAATCGGACGCAGCGCAGCGCGTGATCGGATTAATAATGCGTTTTACGAGCGAAATGTCCCCGCGAGGTCTAATTTAGCGTGAGAATATCGTGTAGAGATTTTTTTGTTTAATCCGGGTCTTTTCCAATTTTGCTCCGCACGGTCAGGAAATATTTGTCTGTCTTTTTTCTGCGTAATAACGAGTTTATTACGGAGACTATTATGAGCCGCCGCGATTCGAGGAAATGAAATATCGACGTACTTCCTACTTTCGTAGTAATAAATGCAAATTTCCGGAAATTTATCGTTGCTAGAGATACAAACAATCCGCGAATTAACAAGAATCATATCGAGCATTTCAATTCATTTTCTACGTGCTTCGTGTTTGAAAATAGTTAATAAACACCTTTGAATTTAGATGTAAATGTTTTGACGTAATAACATAATATTTATGTAAAAAATTGCTTGAGAGAGCTGTGACATTCTTTAATCACGCTGAGTTTTAATTATCTGTTGCCTTATAATTATCTTTCGTCATATCGCTAAAGCGATTTCGCGAAGAAAAAGAACCTGTCGAACCGGCAAAATGTACATGGCACACATGTCACCATATTTATCTCGATTCTAGACTACGTGCGATACTTATTTTTTTTTTTTTCTTCTCACGAGCACACCGAAGCTAAATCGGTGAAATTTGCGAGATCTAATCGATCGGGGCAGTCATGCAACGGCGTATAAATGAAAGTACTCCCGAAGTGGGTCGGCGCGCATTCTTATCAATCAACTCCGGAGTCGTTCGTACGACTGATCTAAAGCGCATAACTTTCGTCAGCCACAAAGTTAATGCGAACCGACTTCGTCAAGTCATTTCCCCGCGATCGCAACACATCAAGGTTATACACCTAAATTGCTTCCCGGATCGCCCGTCGTCGGCTTTCTAAGTTGACATGGTAATTTAAAAGCGGCCACTCGTTCGAATTATAACGAAGATCCCCGATGCTGCTCTCGTCATTTTCTCATCGGAGATGCGATGTTTCTTGTGCGAGTTATTAAAATCTCAGAAGAAGAATTTCAAGATTCTTGTTTTGTGCGCGAGAACCAGTTGCGCAAAACTTGAGTAGTTTCGACAATTAGCGGAAAACTCTCGAGACAAACGAAGAAAAAGAGAAAAATCCCGAGAGGGATATTTCACACACACACACACACACACACAAACGTTTTTCCTCAAAAAACATAATTTTCAGAACAAGAGCTGATTACCATGAAAAGCTCTTTGAAAAAGGACGCAAATGATGAATTAAAGTTGGAAAGTGGAGCAAGCCGCGCGGTAATCAGACGGCAATATTGAGAGAAAACGCTGCGAATCTACGATACGTGTGTATCCGCCGCTTTTTGTGTGTGTGTGTGTGTGTGTGTATGTGTATACGTATACACGGACTATTACATATACATCTGTTAACTCAAGCGCACGGCTAATTGCACGGTTTGCATTTTGCGGCAGTAATTATCAGTGAATGCGGAGGGCGCGCGGTAACAACACACTCTGTATTGTGCGCGTGGTAATTATGAGATACGCAATATCAATGTGTGGTATATTTTTCACGATTAAACGCAGAAATACGACTGTCGAAAAGTGGCGCTACAAATAAGATTTTATGGGTTTGATTGTTTCGAGTGCATCCGCAATTAATTTATTACATATAATAATAATAATCTCACGCCTTGACCCGCGTGTCTCTCTGAGTCACGTCACATTACGACACACATCGAATGATTGTTGATGAAATATACACGTGTTAATTTACTATGTGCGCTCAACGGGAACGCGTTGTTACCGCGCGTGAGATCGGGGATGCCGCGAAGGTAGGACGCCGGGAATAAATAATATTATTTTATACTTTTTCCTTTAAAGAAATACACTTTTTTTATTTCACTGATGTACCACACTTTTATTACAACCGGCGTTGTTCTTATTAACTATACACAGGCAATGCTCTGTCGCGCAGAGCCTCCGCGACACTACTTGAAACGATTTTCTCGTGCGTTCTCTGACACCGGCTTTTATTCCACAGCCAATCACTCGTAATTGGCTAAAGAGAAATCGGACGATATCAAGTTCCCGGAAAGTGAAATGCGGACTATTGCATCTTTTTGGCCACACTCGCGACCTTTGGTCAGCGCATTCTCGGACGCGCTATCGCATATTGCCTTAGCGATCGCTGACTAGGCATCCGCACCGAATTCCAGTCCCGCACGAATTTTTCCTTACACGAAACCAACTAAAGAAGTGAATAAACTCCAACTTAAAACTATTACACCATAACAGAATAATTAATGCAATGTGGTTAACATAACACACAACAAGATAACCGATTTTAACTTACAACAGCGTGTAAAAACGGGAATTATAATTAATCAAACATCTAAATATTTGCGCAAATGTGATGATATCCGGAATTTGAAAGCGATTTCGCTGAATATTAGTTTACATTTTCGGGCAAATAATTCATATAATACACGATCGCGTATATACGTACACGGGTGCGCGAAATACGACGACGAACGTTGCTCCGAGATGCGCTTTAATATGCAACACGCTCGTTAATTCCATTTGAGCCACGCGCTCGAAAATAAATCTCCGAGCCCCGTGGGCTCTCGGAAACTTTGTGTACGAGTCATCGACGTATTTGGCGAGCGGTATCTCTGAAGGTTCACCCGGACAAATTGCGATCATTAGTCTCCCGACATTTGAATGTAATGAAATAATTGGTGTATGGTCCTCGCTATGAGTTTTGCACGGGTCGCAGCTGCAAATTGAAGGAGATTCAGCGAAAATAACGGTGCGTGTCAAAAATAAAACTGTAATAACACGCGAAGCAAGGAAAGTTTCTTTATTTGCAGATCCAATTATGCAACGAAGAAATCCGCCGATTCGGAATGATTGACTTTGTTGCGATTTTGCGAATAAAAAAACAAAAATGTAATTGTATATATTTATTTGTGCAAGTATATCGTACAAGTGTGTAAATACATGCGATTAAAAATGATAAACACGAGAACAATATTATCGTAATTCAGACAATGCGCAAATTAAATAAAAACAAAAAATAAGTATCAGTTTTATGTTTAAATTAAATTTTCTTTAGATAATTATAAATGAGAGAGATGCGCTAGACGAAAGATACGAATTGGCGAACAACGCCTGCGCTTTCAGCAACCATCTCGACTTCAGAGAGAACGGGTTGCTAACAACTCTGGATCAAGTTGATTTAATGGCTGAGTAGATTGGTTTCTCCTTTTACAGAAATCGTGTTACAATGCGCGGAACGAACTTCCGGAAGCGAATTGTGTAACGTGGGAATAAATTTTCGAGACGCGCGTGTACAAAATATAATTACAAATATAATTATAAAGAACATAATTACGCTAATGTTGAGCGCGTATCAGCGCTGAAATAATGTAACCATCTAAACCACCTCCCCCTTGACGCTGTTTGGCGTCTGTTATTTATATTGTACATTGTATTTACAACTGTTTTGGCTCCCACAAGCATAACATTAGCCCGGCGCTGCCCAGAGGGAGAGACAAGAGGCAGAGAGCTTGGCAGAACGTGGCAGGTGTACACAAGTTTCGTTTCGTGTCCCGGTGAACAGCCTCGGTTTTGTCCAAAAGCCAACGCCGAGCTTCAAACTTTGTTTGTGATTTAATCCTGGATTATCAAAACGTCCATCACGCTCTTTTTCCTCCAAAATATTTTTTGTTTTTAATAAGAACAAAAATAAACATTGACGAACTATAAGCCTGAGGAATTCATCGCATCTGAACGTTTATTGATTGGCACGTGATTTTCTACTACAAAAAAGTAAATAAAAAATAAGTAAAGACATATGAGTGAAATGCAAATGTTCTCTTCTGCAAAGCGTGAGTTCAGACATTGCTAGATTTGTCAAATTCACAGAACGAACTGTCCGTTTTTTCTTTATTTTTGTTTTTTTCAACAAATCAGGACCGGAGGAAGAATCCGGCACGAGAAGTCCGTACTGGTCGCCAAGCGTACAGGTGCACGGGCTAACGAGCAACAGCCTGTTCTTCCAGGTAGGAAGGATAAGAAAGAAGAAAAGAAGAGAAGTCGTGTGGAAGTGCGCAGAAGAAGATGAACGCGGAAAAACAGAGAGATCAAAGACGCGAGGAATCAGAAAAGCGAGGGTGAGAATAAAACAAAGGTACAGTATCGAAATATGCGCAAGTTGATTAGAAAAAGTAATTACGCGTGTGTGAAAGAATCCGAGTACCGAATATATCGTCGATACACCAACAAAACATAGAAAAGTGCAGAGAAAGCCGCGAGAAAAGCTGTGCCGAAAAGTCGGAACGTTATTCAGAGAAGAAGAACGTCATCTATACAACGTGTTGAGCGGAACGTAGTCTCCCGCGGAGAAGTTTTCAATATCCTCGTAAAAATAGTCCGAAGGTGCAATGTAACATAATTGAAACTTCGTTTTGAAAGTTCGGAAGTTGACAGCTAAACATTGTCGAGAAACGCTCGTTAGCGTTCAGTTTAAAGAGCTGTTAGTTATTATCCGCCTAAGTAGCAACGACGTCTCTGTTGTTGAGGTCGTTAGGCGCTCACGTCGCTTCGGTGCATCATTCAAGTCTAGTTCAGGGAGAAGAGACGTGCGTCAACGACGCGATAGCGGCCGTTTTCGACGAGATGATGGTATGGACGTACATATGCGAGATGGATGAAAACGACCGACCGCGGATTTGACTCCGATGAAATACGGTTTGTCCAATTAAGTCGCGATAAGATCTCGCCGCGGTCCTGGGTGGCGAGTTTTGAAACGACTTCATTAGACTACCCATAAAATTCATCGGTACGCTGTGAAACGGTACAGAGGAGTCCCGGGACAGGTTGAGGAGACAGGTGCCGCCGCGTGTCGTACATCGCCTCGGGATGGCGCACCAGGTATATATGTATGTGTATATATATATATCCAGGAGGAACGTCTCTCGATTTCCACAAGAAAAAGAAATTATTAGAGCTTATTAGCGGCGACATCCCGACCCCCGAATCTTGATGAGATCCAAATGGAATTCTCTAGGCGCGCGCCGATGGCAACGCGGACGGCCGACGCTGACTGACTCTTATTCGGTCGATAGTGTTTATCTTTTCGATGTGAGAGAAATACATGACGTGAACGAAAATTTTGTTTTTTCTTTTGACGGCACCGAACATGTATTTCGATGAAATATGACATTGATCCTCGAGTCACTTCTACCGAATAATCAAAACGTCACTTCGCGCACGTTATAGCCTACTAAATCAAATTTTTGTTTATTTAAGACAAAATTGTTTGAAATATATTTTCTTTATTTATTAATATTTAAATATATTAAGTTATGATCTAACAAATCTCATCAGGTCTCAAGTGACTCGGTCATTTCATCAAAGAGAGTTGGAAGAAATAAATTTTCGAGATGTGTGTGTGTGTGTGTGTGTTTCTCTTTCAGAGGTTCGTACATCTCGTAAATATTGTTTCTAATTTAAATGTTTTTTACGTCGTTTTGTACGAAGCGGGAGAAAAGGAAGATGAAAGTTACTTTCTAACTTGCGGTCACCGCTGTGCGCGATAATATATACTTGCGTGCGGTCACACACGGAATTTTCGTCGTCTCTTTCTCCACATACGTTAGGAAACCGACGAGAGACGATCCACGTGAGGATGCGGATGGATAGAGACGTTTCAGCAACGAGTAATGATACAGGCGGCTGGACACGCGCTCGCTCGCTTGCTCGCTCGCGCGCGCGAAGCTTCCGCAGTGCCGTTTATATCCCAACCGGTCTCTCGGCGGCACCGACGAGTTCTCTCGTCGGCTTCTGTTGCTTTATTTCGCTGAAATGAGATCAAACGGCCGTCCATCGGCAAAATTCGTTGCCGCCTTGGCGAAACTCGACGAGCGCGCGCGCGCGGTTTTAAGTCTCTTTCCAAAAAGAACGTTTGTTTTATGCATCCGGAAGCGACGACATTCGCGGCGTGTCGTAAAAAGAAGTGTATCAATGAGTAATAAAAGTAGCTGTGCGACGACGGTAATATCGAGGCGAACGAGAAGGAATTGGCCCGCGCGTACATCGGAAAGTATCGCGAACGTATAAAAAACGATCTTGCCTGCGAGTTTTAATGATCGCGCGTATTTATTAATACACTCGTGTGTAATTATCTCCAAAAAAAATAACAAGTTTTATCCTTTGACTTTTAATTCCGAATGTTTTCCCCTCGTTACCTCGAATTTCACGGCCGTTGTAATTTTCGCGATCAATTAGTTCTTGATTTACCTTGCAGTTTTCGATTTAATAAAATCAAGCAAAATTGAGAAAAAAAGCTCGGCGGTCACAATCTCGCGTGATTGCAACAATTATTATTCTTTTTTACGGAAATTGAAGAAAACGTCGCAATGAAATATTGTCGAGTATTTAATTATTACTTAATTATTTAAATATTTTGTTGCATCGTACTTACGCATTGTATCTGTAAAAGGGAAATAAGAGATCACGGGAAGGTCGAAGCGCACGGTGTGCTAGGAAGAGTAAAAGAATCCACCGGGCTATTAGGCGACCGAACAGCAAGTGGAGGATACCATGAACCCGACATTTACTTTCATTATTTTCACTCGTGGCTCGTTGAAAATCTCACGTGAAACTCTAATGAATACTAATTTCAAACCGGATTGGTCCAAGCTAAATTTTAGGCCTTTTACCAGACCGAGGCGATAAAAGTTCGGGTTCGAGAGCGCGCGTGTTGTTGTTGCGTGAATTCCCCTGGATCTCTTTTTCTCTCTCTCTCTCTCTCTCTCTCTCTTTCTCCGTGCGAAGAAAGCCGCGCGGAAAGAGAATAAAACGCGCCGCATCTCTCTCGCTTACGCCCTTCGAATTCCATAAAGACTTCTCTCGCCTAAAGTTCTTGTGTGTCGAAATCTTCTCTTCTCACGTGCGTAATGTGTTTTGCGCTCCCGTTGCAACTTGCT